GGGGGGGGGGGGGGGCGTCGAAAATCCTAGGAGAGGCAGGCAAGCAAGAAATCAGTAACAACAAATGTTCCGAAAATTCTAGATCTCCGAATCGTTTTCCGAACAGATATTTTCCAAAAATTGTCGTTGGGTGCCCCTGGTAAATTCGTACTTCGATAGACTTCAGAAGGTCTCTGATATAGTTCACTGACGAGAATGTATGGGAAAACAGGAAGTGTTAATAATAATGAATTTAACCTCTGAATTTGTGGCAAATATCGAGTTCAGGAAAATAATCATGCATGCTACTCTGAAACCACTGCCAGGCAAATTAAAGCTCGGTTTTTGAATTTTACAGGAATCATGCAGGGGGTTAATGATAGTATTACCTAACTGATTCATTGTTCTTGACCTTGTCAGGAAATATGGATTAACTAAAATGACAACATTGTCAGTTATTTTATTTTCAAGCCCGGTGGAGGTTTCAATTGAAAAGTTCGTTTACGCATTCGGCCCCTGTTAATATATTCAGTATTTTGGGGAATAATTTTTTTGAAGAGCTTTTAAGTCGCAAAATGATTCGACCTCAATATCATAATCGTCTCGGCAACGATATTGCAAGTTTATGAAAAAATGTTTAATTTATATTGGATCATGGAGGGAATATGGAAAAAGGGGCCGAAAAGCGGTGGAAGTTTTACGCAGTCTATGCGGTATATAAATTGCGCAATATTTTTATTGTCTGCAAGGCAAACCCCACTCATTGTGCATCCATTGTTCTATTTAAAGAAATTTTAAGAATAGTTATAATTTTTTGTTAAAATTTCTTCGTAGGTGATAACAAAATCACAGCATGTGGTAGCATAAATTTTTTGTTCTATCGCTATCGCGTGCTTTTGCAAGCTGAAAAGATCTTATTTTCAATTGTTACTTCATAGTTTAATAGAAGTATGTGATTTACTTTTTCAAACCATACGAATATGCCGAAAAATGATAAAAAAAGAAAAATTAAATGGATAAATAGCTGGAATGAAGAGAAAAGCGCGGGAAATTTTTTCCTACCGGAAATTAGATCGTTTACTACCGGAAGAAGCTACCCAATCAAAATTTGCATTTTGTGGTCATGTGATAATGATGGCTTCGACATGGCGGCTGGTGTAAACTTGTGTGATGTTCGGATTGAAGAAACTTTAAAAATACGCATTGGTAAGTTCTTAAAAACTTCAAAATACAGTTCTCATTTTCTTGAAATTAACTTGGAAATTTTATAGGGGAGGCAAAAAATCTACAACCGCGAAAAGAACCAAGATATTCACGCAACTGTTACTGCATTGTGACACTCGACCAAGAGGAGGTATTTAGGACCGCTACTGTGGAAAAAAGTTTGTGGTTAGTTCACATTATTAATTCTCATTGGGCACGTTCCTATATTTTAATTATTTTTACAGAGGCAAGTGTGAAGATGTAATATTTTAATTTCGGGGCTATGTTTAAAATTTTGTTACGTCTTTCTTCGACGAGTAAAATAAACTATAATCTTAAATCTTAGATTGTTTTGAATCTGCATTTTTTTTTTCACCAAACTCTCAAATCTTAAAGCCCTCTTTGTAACGATCCTGTTAGCTCGAAAAAGTACGTGTACTATTCCATCTTGATATTTAGGTCTCGGGAACTTTCCCTGATTAAGCTTACAGATTTTTATCATGTACACGACGGAAGCTTAGAAATTCGGGAAGTTTGGTCTTGGTTTGTACAAAGAAATTTGGCAGAGGTTAATTTGAAATGAAATAAATCTTGTAGGCGGCTTTGTGTTCTGTGATTAACCTCGCATTAGCGGATACCTTAAAAGCATGGTAAAACGTGACAGGAATTGAAATGGGCCGTTTAAAATCTGTTTGATCTAACGTGAAAATAAATTAATACGCATTTATTTCATGTCGCGTGCAAACACACATGTATGACCTTTAACAATTGTGCTCCCATAATTGGACTTTTTCCTCCTTTTTCTTACAGCGAAATTGAGTTAATCTATTGAGACAAAATAAACACCTTTTTAACGTAGCTTAATTTATTGGTATTTGCTTTTCAAATCGAGAGAAGAATTGTTTTCTTTTGGGTTTATAATTGCTTATGAAATTTTCAAGTCCTGTGTTATATTTTGATATATTGAACTAATTGACTTTGCTTAATTTCTATGTTTTCTCCGTATCGGCTTTGAAATCTTGTATAGCATTTTAGGAAAGAAAGTTTTTTCTTGCCATAAGACCCGATTCATTGATCAAGCCGGATGTTTGAACGCAAGATATTACCAAACAATTTCTTTATTTTTTTTAAGTACAGTTCCTTGGCTCTTAATTTATTAATAAGTGGGCTAAAAGAAGTGTTTCTTTTGGAAAGTTATTGTGTATTGAGGGCCTGTTTGAAATTTTTAACCAATAGTAAATAGAAGAGTTAGGCAGTGGGTTTGCTGTTTAGAGTCCTGTTCTCAGTTTTTGGAGTTTAAAATCTCTGGTGATGTGTTCAACCTTGGAGGTGTTACAATATTAGTCTTAAAAGAGCTTTGTATGTAGAATTTTGTCACTTTTATTGTACATTATCGTCTTGGGAAATCGTAATTTTAACTTTTTAACTTGGGCCTCCATTTTCTAAAAATCATCCTTTGACTTACCAGTCCAGTAAGTTTACTGGACATCAGTGTGGGCAGTATGTTGGTAGGAGTTTATGCAACAGGACGACAGAGAGACGAGGACACAAAACACTTGTGTGTGACAAACATGACAGGGCTATTACTTGCTTGTTTTGTGGTGATCTTCACTAAACATTAATGTTTTCTGATCTTTTATGAAAAGATCTGTTTAAGGGAAGGTGAAGTTTGGTGGAAAGTTTTCTCAAACAAAATAAATTATTATCATGCTTGTCACAAAAGGTTTGCTGTCTTCAAATTCTTTCCTCCCCTGTCCTGTTGCGTAAGTTCACTAATGTTGTTACATGGTGTTACCCTAACTACGTGTATTTGCTTAATAAGAGTCTAAATTTTGACTGAGGAACAATACTGAGAGTATATTTTAAGTAAAGTGGTCCTTGTGTGTCTTGTATCCGGCCACAGATCACAGTGCAATGTGTGTTCTATATCTTGTCCCAGATCACAGTGGAATAGTAAAT